CAAATTCCGGCGCTAAAATTTTGCTAGTGAGTTTCCGACCAAATACTGCCTCAGGACCGAAGAACCAACGCTCGCTCACGTCTAGGCTCCGCATACGAGCGGGTGGAAGTTTTGGCGAGAAAATCGCTAACTGGAGATCACAAAAGCTAGGAAGCTGAAAATTTGCAGCTATGTTCCCGTCCACATAGAACTCAAAGATTACAGATTCAGCTCCCAGGTATGTGTAGATTTTCCCGCTAGGGAAATCACTAACTCGCGAGTCGGGAAAACTAGACAGCTAAAATTTTGAGGGGATGTTCCCAGTCAACGTATAACTCAGCCCAAGGTATGTGTAGTTCTCACACACGGCTTCGCGAAAATTTTTTTGAGGAAATTGCTAAGTCCAGAAAAGGTAGGAAGCTGAAATTTTGAGAGGATGTTCCCTGACCAAGCATCATATAGCTGCACAGTTAATTTTCGGAACTATGCCATAAATTCTAGCTACTGGGATTCCAAGCGATCTTACAACAGCACGAAATACTGCAACAATGCATGATCGCAGAGAACTCGCCTATTACGCTTCGCCAATGATTTTCAACGGTTGCTGGCTTTTATCGTCGTTCTTTTGCAGATTATCAATTTCTGGTATGGAATTCTGCTTTGGATGGTACTAAACAAGGGATCATGGATGCAAAATGCCAAGCGATAGACTGACAGAGTTATCAGAAAAAGCAAACTGCGCTTTCCTCAATGGCAATTTCAGGAAAGCTCTCGAGTTGTACAGCCAGGCCATCCAGATTTATCCGGGAAACCATGTGCTTCATTCCAACCGTTCTGCAGTTTTTTTACATTTGCAACGCTTTCACGAATCACTTTATGATGCGGAACAGTCGATACAGATCAACCCCAAATGGGCTAAGGTTCTTACTTTTCCGAAATTGTACTTTTTCCTGATTACTGCATCCATTTGCAGTTCCTTTCTTGCTCATTTTCTGCACTTCGCTGGCTTTGTTCTATTGCTCCCCTGCGTAAAATTTGAAAAAGAAAAATATGTTTGGTTTGAAAATTCTACAGCTTTTCCAACTAATTCATGCGCAGTGGAGCGAGTGCCTTTTACAAAGATCTGAAGTTTTTTGAAGGAGTAAATTACTGGGAGTAAGTTTATTTGAGATTTTATATCTAAAAATTTTTTTGTCGTCTTTTTGCAGGGTTATCTCCGAAAGGGTGACGCTTTACGTGCTGCCAAAAAATTTGACAAATCAATCCTCTCATACTGTCAAGGACTAGCGCTTGGAAGTGCGGAAATTTTTGCTCCATTGAAGGATAGTCTGCGCTGCAGTATCATCAAAGGTGCCATTTTCTTTACGGTTTTTATGCATTCTAAGATTTAAATCTTCAAAAAGTATGCGATTTTCAAACACTAATTCATTAATTAACCCCAAAAAAATATTTCCATAAAGCGAAATGCCTCAAACATGGTCTAGCATTGGCAACACTTGAGGTCAACAGATACCGTTAAATTTCCGGTACCTAAAGCCTTGCTAAAGTGTTTCTGTCGGAAGAACCGTTATTCAGTATTCTGGTTGCCAGCCTTGAGGCTATCTTGCCGTTCTTTACGTCCCTTGAACCGATTACTGGCATCGGTATTCCAGAGACGAAAAAAACGTCAGAAACGCTACAGGGCGATTCTGACATTCTTTTCGCAGCAATATTTGAAACCATGGAACGAAGAAATAAGAAAATAAGATGGTGCCGCCGATGCTTTCGGATGT